AAATTTTAAATAAGTAACATACGAAATGACAGCGCCACGTGCAAAGCAAAGAAAATGATCGTTTATATTATAAAAAGAATGCATCGAAACGTTTTCGTTTTTTTTTTGTCTGTATTGTCTTATCTATTTTCAAATACATTGTTTAAAAATATTTGGTAATTGTAGAATTATTATAAGTTAAAGAAATATGAAAACTGCTAAAACTTTCGGCGAACTCCTGCTGCAGGTCCCGCGACCCACAGTTTAAGAAACCTTGGTTTAATGTATTAAAAATTCTAGAATGAAATATACATCGAAATGAATTTTAAGCCAACCAGGTCTAATAAAAAATCTCAAAAGTAAAATTAATTATTTTAGGTTTTATGATACTTTTATCGCATGCAATTAAAACTAAAGCAGCGTAGTATAACTTTAACAGAGTTTTAAGAAACATTAGAATTTTATAACATTTACAGAATTGATTACATTTAATAGCTCTGAAACTCTATTTGACAATTTCTATATAAACGTTCCTTATAAATATAGTCCCATGATTTTAATTTTAGTCATATATGGCCAATATTGTTTTCGGACAAGATTGACCAAAATTGAATATTATTTCAGTCATTTTAAGGACAATCAGGATCTGTTTATTCATAGACATCGCATGTTTTTAACATAGAGTAAAGCTTTCAGTTTTAATTGACATGCGATATATTAGAAATATATTTTTACAGTGTAATGGAGGAACTTATATTTAAAAACAAATATTTTGAAACCTCCTTATGGAAGGCACATTTTCTGTTTCTAATAGGAACATCAGTAACTCAAAATGTACTTAAATAATGAATGGGAAGTTGAAATGAGAAATACTTTTAATTATCTATTCAGTAATTATTGCACTATTAGCGGCTCTGAAGCACGTGGAATCTTATCAAAGATGAAAAATGAGATACAAGCAATAAATATTTGAGAGAAATGGACAGAAGAAACAAATTGCATAGAGTGTTTACACATTTTTAAAAAGTATTTCGATAAATAATTTTAAAAAGCAATTAGTTTGGAATAAGCATTTCTGCACCTAGCCTTACTATTTGAAATGACAAGTATGGTCTGCTATTTTTAAATTTATTCTTCTTTCGAAATGTCGCATGTAAACAATCTGAGATACATTTTTGTGTTTTTCGAAGAGAAATATTACTATTCCATAATTCGAAAACGTTGCGAAATGCATGATATTAAAATTTCTAAGTGCAAAATAATCAGCATTATTTTACTGGAAAGGTGCAATTGTCAGTTTTTACTTCTACACGGAAAAAGGACTGCAAAGGATTGCTTAAAGAAAGTACATACTCTTTTTAATTTTTAATTTTTTTTTTTTTTTTTTTTGAGAGACATCCGCCATCGAATCAATTGCAAAATCTTTAAATACATCTGTAGCATTAGTAAATAAAACTATAAACCAAGATTTATAGCCTAAAAAATTTACGAAACATATGTTCACAAACTTTTCTCAATGCATGTAGCTCAAAGCAGAAAAATTTCGAAACACTTGTATGGAAAGTATATAGTGGGATATAAATGGAAGTACATTGTGTCCCTTAATGAATCATGGATCTACCTAAATGACTTTGATAATGAACAAAAAAGAGGTGTATTTAGTATTGAAAGAGAAGAGAAAAAATGTACAAACCAGCTTCCATCAATGCAGGGAAAGTTTCAGAAAGGAGGTTTTAATTGTTGCAGGATTCTCTTACAGTGAGAAATTAAAAAATAAGATGACCGTAGTAATAGCTTAAAACTCAACGTTCAAAACAACATTTTATCATAAAAAAATTTTAATGTCCGATATTTGCAGAAGAAAGTTTATTTCAATGACTTTTAAAGAATGAATTTTTGTCAAGAGAAAAATTCCACCAAGAAAAAATTCAGTACTTTCTTTGAAAACTGAAGACTGATACAGGTATTGCCTATATCCATTTCAACATAAACCTGCTAAGTCGCTGACGTTTCACCTATGGATTATTGCGCATTTGTCTCTTGAGAAGAGCTCTTAATAAACGCAAACCCACCACTACTGATGGACTAAGGAAACTAGGGGAAAAGGAATTTAAAACAATACTCCTAGAAATTTTACGGACAGAACTTCTATCATGGAATTCACGATGAAGACTGAGAAAAAAAGGCTGTCAGATTGAACATTTAAAAAATTACTCTCTTTATTTCAATTATTAATTTAACGGTTCCTAAATGGTTCTGAAATAGTGTAATTAGTCTGCATATTTTTGAAATATTGGAGTTTTTTTAATTACCCTAAAAGTGAACGTTCTATCTCGCCGCCCAAAAAATCTTCCTGGTGTGATATGGCTAATAATTGCTATTCTAAAAATTATACTTATAAGTATACATTGTTAATCTAGAAATTTTTATACTTCTAATATTCAAAATAGTAATTATATTCATGGATCTCCTCGGAAAGAAATTAGCTCTATAACTGAAATTATATTTCTATTGGAACAAATTGCATAAATCACACAAAATTGCTCCACGCGTTGATTATTCATCCACGAAATTATGGTTAGTTTATCAATGAAATAATTAGAGAAATTTTAAATATTGATTCCACTAAACAATTCCAATAATTCACTCTTGAGGCCAAAATACTAACATACGTTCTTTGCTTGACAATGTCTCAGCTATAGATAAGATACTTTGATACATATATATTTGATACACATAAGCTTTGATACACATATATATGTATATATATATGTGTGTATGTAAGATAAAAATATGTAAATAAGCTTTATAATTTAATTCAGTAACAGGCTCTTAATTACTCCTTTTTAATTCTGATATTTCGTCTTTCTATTCTAAAAAAAAATATTCATCGACTGCGCCATTTCTAGAATATTCTATGTCACAGAGCTTGCGTAACGCTGATGACGTAATTAATTCTGAACACAGACTCTAAAAACTGAAAACTTTCTTACCTAAACCAAAACCTTTCTCTTAACAGACTGCCATATTGCATAAATGCACAATTTTCAGTTTCATTCTCTTTACTGCTTGGACGCAATTTCGCTGTGTTCTCTTCCTGTCGCAATAGTTTTCAAAAATGTAAATGTTCTGCAAATAGTCACAATAATTTATATATATTATTATCACAATAATTTATATATATTATTGTGCAAATAACAATAATTGTCACAATAATTTATATATATTATTGTGCAAATAGTCACAATAATTTATATATATTGTATAATAATGAATTACATTCATTATTATACAATCTTGAGAAGGCAAATGGAATCTCTTGGGATATTTTCTGTGGTGCTGAACATGGCCCAATGCAATTTCCCAATTTTGCTGAGTAATTACTAATAATCTATTAAATTCACCTATAAATGAACACATCTCAGTAAGTTAGTACATTTAATATTAATTTAAATAAATGCCTTGAGTTAGCTGAAAGGCGTCTTCACAAAAATTATATTTCGAATATCACTGAAAAGTAAAAACATGAAGTGTCTGTCAAACTTAAAATCTAAAAAAAAATTTTTATGAATAAAGTAAACATTTAAGTTAATAACAACTTCGCCTGCACTTAGTTTGTTTTCCTTCATTTTCCTAACGCCAGAGGGTTATGAAAATCTACACATAACGAATATTAAAAGAGGAAAAAAGGTCTTGAATCTGTTGGAGGTAATTTGATAAAGGATTTCAGGAAACGTTTCACTTTTCCATATTTTTTCAGCAAATCAGAGGACTTATTTATGTTTCTCGTTTAAAAGAGGAACCGGCATTCTTCACTTTCGTGTAAGTTGTCTTTATGAATTTTAGCTTCGGGGTCGTAGAACTTCCTAAACTTAAGACATTTCTTCATATTTAAAGTTATGGAGCATGTCTCGGCTGTTCTTGGAAATAATTTGATTCTGCAAAAGGAATTTAAACATCCTTTATAGTTTTTTTGGGGCGTTTTTTCTGTTAAACTGAATGACAGGAAAGAAATGAAAGTGAAAGGAATGATTTCAAAAACAGGACTTTATAATTTAAAATATTTCTTCCCGATCTTCTTTCAATCATTTTATGTAATTGAGTTTTCTTCTTCATCTTCCTTTTCTTTGTTCCGGGGCTATTAAAAACTTATTTTAATAATCACATGTTTTTGTAATACAGGAATTCAAAAATTAAAAAGGAAAATTTTCTTTACAGTAAATTATGTGTCTTTCCTCCGCCACCCTCTGTCCATTTTTTCCTGCACTTAACTTGTTTTAATAGTTTCCTTTCATAAATTGGGTGGAATAAAACAATTGAATTATTTAAAAAAATCCCATAAATACTTAATTATTTTTAATGCTTATTGAAAATTATTATAAATAATTATTTTTTTCTATTCCGGAATCCTAACGCAAATATATTAGAATAGTACAAAAGTAAAGGAATCCTTTTTATTACAAAAATAGGCAGATATTTTTCGCAAAATTATACTTTCAGTTATCGTTAAAATTGTTTTGATTCTGAAAGCTTAATTTATTCGAAACTAACGTTTTACTTTTAGTTATTGAATGAAAATTATCTTTATTAAAATAGCAAAACCAATCAATATTTCTTTTTTAAAAGTGAGGGAAATAAAACTGATGTCAATCTATATGAAATGCCCTCATTAATTTTATTTCTATATTGTATTGTATAATTTTTCTTTCTTTTTTACCTGTTTTTTGTTTTCTAATACTGCATTTGATGCTTAAAGTTATTATCATATATAGAAATGGCATTAAAGTCATTTTTTAAATTCCATGAGGTTGAACATTAATACTTTCTACTGAAAACTAAGCATCTTTGGAAAACAAACAATTGTAAGCAACAACTAATTTAGGACATTTAATGATTTTAATAATATTATAGATATATATGATTTTTATATGATTTACAGGAGTAAAACTTGTGTATTATATCAGTAACTGCACTTCGAACAACAATCATGCTAAAGTAAATATATTGTTAAGCATAATTGTCCTTTACTATCATGTTGCTTAAAACAAGAGTTTATATTTGTTTAATTATTTTAGTCATCTTTTCCTTCATGTATTTTATTCTTTTCCAGGTGCAGTGCCATCTGAAAAATGAAACGTGGTATAACTATTTTATGACTGAAGAGGACGTTTTTATATAGGTCTTAATAATGGAACATTGGGGTGATTTTCGTGAACTTACTTCAGTACCAGTAACCTATAATCAAGCCATGATAACTCCATCACCGCAGGTCCCACGTTCAGATGTTCTGCCTGAAATTTTCTTGAAAGATACATCCCCCACCCCATTCAATATCAGTGACATGATGGAACCGACCTTTACAGACGCCATTGGTACAATATTTACTGCTGTCACTTTAGGAATATTTATACTTATTACGATAATAGGAAATTTCTTTGTAATTTATGCTATAACTACGGAGAAGAATTTGAAGGGCATAGCAAATTGGTTGATATTATCTCTAGCTGTGGCCGATCTCATGGTTGCTATTCTGGTAATGCCTTTAAGTGCTTACAATGAAGTTTACAAACAAGTCTGGGTGCTTGGTCCTGAGCTTTGCAGAATGTGGACATCACTAGACGTACTTTGTTGTACGTCGTCCATCTTACATCTTTTAGCCATAGCTATAGATAGATATTGGGCTGTCACAAACGTAGAATATGCTAGAAGTCGGCAACCCCTGAGGATATATCTCCTGATTTCCGGTGTTTGGGCAGGCTCGTTTATCATATCATTCGCTCCTGTATTTGGTTGGAAAGATCCAGAATTTTATCAAAGATTGGAGGAGGAAAAACGTTGCTTGGTTAGCCAGAATGTCATATACCAAGTATTTGCAACATGTACAAGCTTTTATATTCCTCTCATCTTTATTTTGCTATTGTATTGGAACATATTTAAACAGGCTAGAAAACGAATTCGTCACAGACCAGGTGCTCCAGCCGTATTAATCGTAGAAAAGAACAAAAATCCTGCTACCTGTCTTGCATCTCCTTTATCGACAGAAGACAGCAACGATCAAGCTCAAGTAACGGTTTCAGAAAATGATATCGAAGCCAATCACGGAGGTTTAGGGCGATTACTCGTACTAGCCAAGCGAGAAAAAAAGCATGCTAAAGAATCCACTGAAGCAAAGCGTGAACGTAAAGCAGCCAAAACACTGATGATAATAACCGGTGCTTTTGTAATTTGTTGGTTGCCTTTCTTTGTTATGGCATTATTAATGGCAGTTTGTAGTTCTTGCGAACCTAATGAGCATGTTTTCAGTGTTATGTTATGGCTGGGATATACGAATTCTCTCCTCAATCCTGTTATTTATACCATTTTTAGTCCTGATTTCAGAAATGCCTTCAAAAGGATGCTTTGCGGTGAAAACTACTCGAGCCAAAGACACTGAAGAAAATGTTGCTGCTCTTAAACTATACGCAAACTACCAAATTTTAGGAAAAAATGTTAAGAATCATTTTGATAAATTCATTTTCGGGGTGAAATATGAAAATAAATGCATATATGTTATTTAATCTTAATATTACAAAATTTCTAAAGCATTATTTGACTATATAGCACAGTAATAATCAATTTGATGGATTTTCTAAAATATCACTTCTGCAATCATATTCATCATGTAAATATTGCTCTTGTATGTACACATATATACATGTGCTGGGGTTGTTTGGTATCACAATATGAATCCCATAAGACAATTAAGTGATTTTTATCCAGAATACAGTTATAAAGGGCTGAATAACAAATTAAGAAATTTGTGATGAAGAGTTGAAATGAAGAAAAAATGGAAATGCACTAAACGATCATACTTTAAAAAAGTTGCATCTATGGTTGCTGAAGGGAATTACGTATAGAGTGCGATATAGGATAAAACTGCACCTAACATGTTTGTAAGTAAAAATATTCATGTAAGAAGTATGCTATAAACTATGGACAGTTAAATTCAAAATCTTTAATTCTTGAATTTTGAAGTTGATGGTGTTTCAGAAGTTCTAAAACATGCCAGAATTTTTAATACGAAAAGACAAAGCTGTTATTACGTAAATGAAAATAACGCTGGACAACTATATCATAGAACTAGTATATTTTTGTCTATTAGTAGTAAGAACAAGTATGTTACTGGATTATGTTACAAAAATATGCGCCAATGTTTGTATTCATCTCTTTATATGTATTAGAGGTGTAAAGTAGTAATATTGCTGTGTGTCTGTTTACTAGAATCTTTTACATACTGTACAATTGTTAAAATACAGTTTATTTGTTTGACGTGTTTAAGAAAATATTTTTCTCTTAATATTTAGATGCATTTTCTGTTAATGTTTCCTTTTTGTGGCATATGATGGAACAAATTTATTTGTGCAGTGTTGCAACATACTCTTAACTGTAAATTTTCAAACATCGTTGTATTCATAAACAGCATTTATTTATATAGTTTTAAATCAGTTGTCATTTCGAATATCAGAAGTCGTATACTAATTTGAGAATCAATCAAGCATAAATGAACATTCTTTTAAATACAAAAGGAAAAATCTTCATCAGTCTTTACATATTCGATCTGTAAAAGGGGCTCAACAGAAAGTTTATGTAAAGATTAAACTTCCTCTACATCAAATGACCTACTAAAGACTGATAAGATATCTTCTCCGGAAGACTTAATCTGCATAATATTTTAAACATACTTATCTATTAATGGTGATACTTTTACGTTCTTAGCATGCATTATTCCTTCAGCATTTGAAATTTGGTTAAAATATTTGGCAATGCGAGCAGATCTAAAATTTCTGGACAGTATATTCTTTGAATATAAAGCAGCTGCATTCATAAATTTATAAAATTAAGGGGGGAAATACTTTTTTTATATAAATCTTCTAAAATTACATTTATATCTTTCAGTAAAACTCACCCAGAAATTTTCAGTGAGGAATTTTAAACAAAACTTTATCAGATCCAGAAATATAGACTATACGTTTATGAAAATTAATTATTTTTCAGAAAGTTCTGTTGTAAACAGCAGGATCTGTGAAAAATATTTGAGTTTAATTTTGGCCTGTCTATTATTTAAAGGAAGATTAAATATTTGAGAAAAGTTTACATGTTAGTGATAAGTAAGCTTAATGCTTAGTTCAATGGAGAATTTAAGCAAAAATGTTTTCTTCACTGTAAGTTTAATCGAAAAGTGAGTGAGTGAGGGCACCGCTATAATGGCTTTTCGACCACGGACATGAACCAAATGGAATTATATACCATCACGGCGGAGAAAACTCCAGCGTAGCAAAGTTGAATATTACATACTAATAACAGTTTCTATAGCTTGAGAACTGCAGGCACCAAGCGTTATTCTGATTATCTGCTTTAAATTCCGAACATTGGAAATAATATTATTCACGGATGTTTCTGCTGTCTTGAGATTTTCTCTATTTCACCAAGGGCCACTCTAGTTTTGAATGTGTTAGACGTCCACATTGCCCAGGCGCAGTCCGCTGGTTTCTTCAGGTGCCAGGTTCTTGTACGTACACAATGAAAAAAGTATTGAAAATCTGACCTGATTTTACATTCTGTAAAATTTATGAAGGCCTTGCTTATTCAGTGGTAATAGTGTTTCCGAAAGAAGATGCTGCCTGTAGTTAAATAAGTAAGTTAGTATTGATTTCAAGGAACATAAGATATGCTGTAAAATGTTCTCTGAGTTTTTAAACATATTTTGTACTTAAGAACAATCTTGGAATACCTGGTTACAGCCGAAAACATAGCGGCAAACACATCGCGGACGTAGACGTTACGGAGAATTCAACACAAGGCGAAAACGTCATGGTAAAAACAACATGGGAGAAAATAAAACAGAGAAAAAGCATCGTAGTTCTAAAACGTCGTGGTACAGAATATCGTCCTCGAAAATTAAGGCTTCCAAAACTTCCCAGTTTAAAATCAACTTTGTTGAAAATATCGCGGTAAAAAATAAAGTACCTACAAATCATCGCATGACGATAACATTACAGACATGCGTTTTTCAGGCTTTAATAATTGTTAAATGGATATTCGCATAATGATTTGTGAGCGCAAGATGGAAAGAAGGATAATTTTTACTTTCATATTTTTTATTAACTAATAATTTTTTAAAAAACGGAACGAGAAATTTAAATATAACAAGAAATAATTTTCACTATAAGAGTATCAGATTAGCAAAAGTGAAGGAAATAACCTCTTAACTTAATCTAATTAACTTAGCAATTTTTTATAAAGTCGTGCAGTTACTTATATTCTTTTTCTATTCTTTAGATTATACATTTCCTGAAAAATTACCAGTAAAACATTATAAAAATAATTTATTAGTGACATTTGTTAGTTAACTATGTCAGTTTTAAAGTCTATTAAGTGGTATAAATTGCATTAATTTTCTATGCTTAAGTTTCCATTTAACATTTTCAACAAATATTTATTAGTTAATAAAATATATGAAAGTAAAAATTATCCTTCTTTCCCTCTTGCGCTCACAAATAATTATGCGAGTATCCTTTTACAATTATTAAATCTTGAAAAACGCATGTCTGCGATGTTATCGGCATGCAATGATTCATAGGTACTGTATTTTTTACCACGATATTTTCCACGATGATGTTTTTAAATTGCGAAGTTTTCGAACCGCTTTATTTTCTCCAATGATGTCTTGTTCCACGGCATTTTCGCCTTGCATTAGTTCTCCGCGACGTTTTCGTCCGCGATATTTTCGGTGAACATCCAATACCTACACCTTAAAAATAAAATTAAGGTAATGTTTCGTTCGATCAGTGTTGCATTTGTTTCCACATTTTCAGCGAAATATATATAAGAGGAAGTTTTATTAATTAAATAAAACTATATTGCTTTTAGAAAGGGAAACTTGAGGAGGAAAACCTGCGCCTTTGCCAGAATTCGAACCCAGAAGCTTCGAACTTGCAGGTAGAAGTGCTGATCACTTGGATGTAAGAAGACGCGCAAGGCTTGATTTGGTTTATTGAGATTGCGGCAAAGTACACGAGGTATATCTCCCTATGGAGAGGAATGCCTTCGTGAAGGGTGTTCTTAGGGAAACTTGCTCTTAGACACTTTACACTTGGAGAAAACCACGAAAACGTCCATGCAGCCAGCCAGTTCGCCTGGAATCGATTCCAGCACGGAACTACCAGTGTTCAGCGACTTTACCGCCCGGCCGCTGATGGTCAAGAGGCGCAGGAAAATGCGCTAACTGTTTGCAATGTAAACCGCATTAGTTTAAAATTTTTTCCTTAGTTGACTTTCGTAACTTACAGTTATCAATGCAGGCAAGTTTAATTTTTCTTTGTCTTTATTTTTCATTTATGAAACAAATTTATTTTTACTTTTCTCATTTTTTTTCTAACAATAAAAAACGAAAATCATTTTTAAGATACTAATTTCAATTATTACAGGATATTTATACTCTTCTTCTATTAAGAGATTTTTAATAATTATATCATACAATCTCTAAGTTCCAGAACTATCCATTAGCTTTTTTGCATAATGTCATTCTGAGTTAATCAGTTGAAAAATGACCGTGAATCGAAATATAAATTTTGCACGTTCTGTCCCCAAATTTAATTAAGATCGTCTCAGATTCTTTCCCAGAACGAAATAATAATGATATAAACTTCATACATCTATCAAAAAGAAAGCGTTGATTTGTCTTTGATGTGAAAAAGGCGTTATGTCATTTATAAACAGACATTGTTATTTAGATACAGTGAACATGTTTTTCTTCTGTTGTTATTGCTGTTTATATGGTATTTTGTCTTAAAGGATTACTAAAACCCTCAATGCCTTTTTCATTTCTTCTATGTTCATGAAGTAGTTAATTCTTCTAATGCCAACTCGTAGCTAATAGTTTGAGCAAAATGTTCGGTCTGCAGTGCTGCCATTAACGAAATCATAGTAGTTGTACGAAAATCTTGTGCCTATATAGCTTTATCATGCAATAATAACAATACCGTTGCTTACCAGATAACTCAGTCTTACCTCACCTGTGAGTATTTTAGATGTACACTAGATATATTGAGTACTCTTTTATCACAGAATGACTTGCATAGCTTCTAACCGTGTTTAAATGTGAAACACTAATACTACAAAAAAAAAAAAAAAAAAGATACCTTACCGCAGCCCTGTCCAAATATCTAATGCCGCTCTATTTCACCGAGAGGTCGACGGTTATTTATAATAGAATGGTTCTTAAGCAGTGTTAAAACAGAAATATGGATCGATATTAATTCACTCATTGGTATTAATTAATTCATTCACTGATATTAGTTCATTCACTCATTGATATTAATTCCTTCATGAACTGATATTGATTTATTGACGTATATTTTTACTATTCATTGGTATTCATACTGATATGATAAAGTAACAAATTTCATATGCTTCAAGAAGCCAATGCAGTTCATTACATTACGATAAGAAACACGAGCCTCTGAGTTCAAATTAGCAAATATTAATCAGTGGCTCTTTCTAAATAAAATGACATTTTCAGTCTCAAAATAAAAGTTCGACAGGGTAAAGGAATATTTAACATTTTTAGGAAAACGATGTTAATTTTATTTTTAGAGCAGAAATGACAGTTTGCTTTATGGGTACAAAAACGAAACAGATGGATAAATTAATCTCTGAAATCGAATTACAGACTACATGAAAATATCAGTTTAAGGATAATTATCATTTCACTGATGCAAAAAAGATTCTGATATTAATATATAATCTAAAAATTCGGATATTAACATATACTCTGATAATTCTAGCATTAAGTATGATGTTTATTATTCTGATAACTATAACAATAATGATCAGCAACAGATCAAAAAAGAGAATTCATTTGCTTCTCTAGATGATAGTTGCAATTCTCTTCTCAACAAATCGCAGTGCAAAGGGATGTAGAAGTAAAGTTTCAATACATTTTTTTTTCATGGATTCATAAGTAAGTTGTATTTTTTCGTGGTACTTTAAATATCGTCCACATTTATTTCTTTTTTATTATTAAGAACATAACTCTTTTAATTCTTGCAAATTGCTTGCCTTAAAATTGCTTGCAAATTGCATACTATGCAAAATGCCTTAAAAATACCAATCTTTCAGAAACATAATTTTTTCCTTTAAGATTTTAGGAGCATATTTTCCCACGCACATATCTGATGTCATCTTTCTTAATATTTACATACAGATTAATTGATTTATTTATTTTAATTCTTAATTATAATGTCAAAATGCGTGACTCAGATAATGTAACATTATGCAAGATACTTACTGTCATCTTGTGAGAAAAAAGTTAAAGAAGCATTCATAAAGAATGAAGTCTAATGCTATAATTAACAGAAAAACACCATTAACAATTTACTTGTATTTATAAACAATTTAATCTATTGAATAAAATTATTTGGTTACGTAAAT